AGGGGGACGTGGGAGAACACCTGGGATCCTTGTTAATACCTTCTAAAGTAGCTGGGGACCTTGTGTGGTAGCTGGGGACCTTGTGTGGTAGCTGGGGACCTTGTGTGATAGCTGGGGACCTTGTGTGGTAGTTGGGGACCTTGTATGGTACCTGGGGACCTAGCGAAACAGCCAGGAGCCGAGGGAATTACACCTGATCCAGCAACACTACTCGGGATGAAACCAAATTGCTCAATGTCCTGTGAGTTTGTATCCTAACAAACATCGACCCGCCAATCAGTATAGTCAATCCTGACTATACTGATTGGCAGGGAGTCAATCCTCTCAGTCATTCCTACCTGGCTAGGACTCGAACCCAAACCAAATTGATGGCGAGGCGGGTGTTTTACCAGGCTATCTACATAGCCTCATACTCAACGACTGGTAAACCCAATAACCATATATTCCTGTTGTTAATTTTACATCTTGTGATTAGAATAATTTATATATATATATATGTGTATATATATATATATATATATATATATATATGTCGTACCTAGTAGCCAGAACTCACTTCTCAGTCTACTATGCAAGGCCCGATTTGCCTAATAAGCCAAGTTTTCATGAATTAATGTTTTTTCGTCTACCTAACCTACCTAACCTAACCTAACCTAGCTTTTTTTGGCTACCTAACCTAACCTTACCTATATATATAGGTTAGGTTAGGTTAGGTAGGGTTGGTTAGGTTCGGTCATATATCTACGTTAATTTTAACTCCAATAAATAAAAATTGACCTCATACATAGTGAAAAGGGTAGCTTTATCATTTCATAAGAAAAAAATTATAGTAAATATATTAATTCAGGAAAACTTGGCCTATTAGGCAAATCGGGCCTTGAATAGTAGGCTGAGAAGTGAGTTCTGGCTACTAGGTACGACATATATATATATATATATGTCGTACCTAGTAGCCAGAACGCACTTGTCAGCCTACTATGCAAGGCCCAATTTGCCTAATAAGCCAAGTTTTCCTGAATTAATATATTTTCTCTAATTTTTTTCTTATGAAATGATAAAGCTACCCATTTCATTATGTATGAGGTCAATTTTTTGTTATTGGAGTTAAAATTAACGTAGATATATGACCGAACCTAACCAACCCTACCTAACCTAACCTAACCTAACCTATCTTTATAGGTTAGGTTAGGTTAGGTAGCAGAAAAAGTTAGGTTAGGTTAGGTTAGGTAGGTTAGGTAGTCGATTAATCCAGTGTAATTGGAATATATATATATATATATATATATATATATATATATATATATATATATATATATATATATATATATATATATATATATATATATATTGATATTGCCAGGGGGGGGGTTTAGGTTTTTCAGGAAAATTGAGATTGGAAGTATTAGATCTTGTGATGTATGCAGAGGTGCGCTTGTGTGACCGCCAGGGGGGGTAGTGGCGACTCTAGGCACCTATGTACACATGGCGCCAGATTACAGTTCTCGAGTTTCCGTTTTCTTCCGGAAGCGGATGTGGACAAAGATGATGGAGAGGCACAGAAGGGGGAAAGTTGTATACTTGTGGGAATATATAGTGTAGGTTATGAGAGCAGGAGGACTGTCCGCCTGCCTGACACGGTCAGTGTGTTTGGTTGCTGGGTTAATGTTGCTCTCTTTAGCCAGCGAGCTGCGAGAGTTCGTAAAGTTTCTCTCGTGTATTTTAACATATACGGATGTCTATACCTGGAGCATACCTGGAGAGGGTTTCGGGAGTTCTTCTACTCGCCGAGCCCGGGGCCAGATTCACGAAAGCACTTACGAACCTGTGCATCTTTTCTCAATCTTTGGCGGCTTTGTTTCCAATTATTAAACAGTTAATGAGCTCCGAAGCACCAGGAGGCTGTTTATAATAACAACAACAGTTGAATGGGAAGTTTTCATACTTGTAAACTGTTTAATAAATGTAACCAAAGCCGTCAAAGATCGAGGAAAGATGTACACGTTCGTAAGTGTTTCCGTAAGTGCTTTCGTGAATCTGGCCCCAGGCTTGGAGCCAGGGTATGCCCAGCACTCATGGGTAGCATTGATATATAACACACTGAGATGTTGGTGTGCCTGCTGCCGCTATAGCGAGCAGTGGCGGGTAGAGGTGGGGGGCGGTGGGTACACATCGGGCGGTGATGCCCCACAAGGTCACGCGACCAGGCCAGGAGGGCCGCAGGCATGGAGGGAGGAAAGGGTAAAATGAGGAAGGGAGGTACGGTGGGCAGGTATGGAGGGAGGTAGAGAGGCAGCACCTACCTATCAGTGACTAGGGGGGGGGGGGGAGTGAGGTCCAGCTCTCTACGCCACGCCACTTAGCCTTCTTTTTCTTCCGCTATAATTTAACTAATCTGACGTTCGAAATCTGTGTAGATGGAGGTGGCTTGACAGATAAAGGGAGGGAAATGCCAGGAAGAGGATGGAAGCCATAGTGACAGGGATGTGTCACTCTGACAGGTCTGTCAGGGATGTGTCTCTGGAGCGCACCTCACCCCAGGCAACCTACACATTCCTAGTGTGTTATGATTTGAGGATTGCAAACTTCCTGCCTATATTATTAAAACGTGGACAAGCGTAATAAGGTTTCAAAATACCGTTCATTTATTATGCACCCCATACCCATCCCGAGGACGGTAGAAGAAATGGTTGTAAGTGTAATCGTTCATTTTCTTCAGTTTAAACATATATACTTTCAACACAACGCGCGTAAGTGCGTTAAGTATCGAGTAAGTAACTCTCGATACAACGTCTTGAGACGCAGTCGTCCAGCGGTGTTCAGGTTTTTTTTTTTTTGCTGTACCAGGCGCGGAGATCCACAGGTATTCACATTTGCTACAGCTTTTTTGCTTTTTTTTTTTACACAGGTGGGTACAGAAATAGACGACGTCTGTCTCATGTTAGCAGGCTGACAGCTGTCCCTTCCCATAGTATATCGGGCTCACCATAGTCCGTGCTACCTGGATCTTATTGTTCCAGGTAGCGAATCTTAAACAACAACAACCCATAGTATATGGTACCTTACCTTACCTTGAGTAAGGTAAGCTCTACCCACTAGTTTTCTCTGAGACTGAGTGACCCAGAGACTGAGTGACTGAGTGACTCAGAGACTGAGTGACTGAGTGACTCAGAGACTGAGTGACTCAGAGACTGAGTGACTCAGAGACTGAGTGACTCGGAGACTGAGTGACTCTGAGTGGAGACTGAGTGACTCAGAGACTGAGTGACTCAGAGACTGAGTGACTCGGAGACTGAGTGACTCGGAGACTGAGTGACTCGGAGACTGAGTGACTCGGAGACTGAGTGACTCGGAGACTGAGTGACTCAGAGACTGAGTGACCAAGACACTGAGTGACCAAGACAGTGACTCAGACACTGAGTGACCCAGAGACTGAGTGCCAGGACACTTGAATAAGCAAGCAAGTCTAATCACCGACCAGGTGGCCAGAACCATGTGGGGGTCGTTACAGGTTCAACACCTCACAGTTCCTGGCATTTCCTGGCGGGTTTGTTTACTCTGAGCCTTGAGACGCTGCCCGCGGGGTACCAACTTTCCTTGAACGACGACGGAGATGCTTACCTAACAGTGACTACTGACAAGTGAAGGCTAACATGCCCCGCTTATTAGCCTTGTTGCGTTCGAATTTAAGCATCCTGACGTTCGAATTAGTTGTCGAATCCCCAGGAAGCTCCGATCTCTCGTTAGCTAGCGGCCTGGGGCCAGATTCACGAAAGCACTTACGCAAACACTTACGAACGTGTACATCTTTCCTCAATCTTTGACGGCTTTGGTTACATTTATTAAACAGTTTACAAGCATGAAAACTTCCCGTTCAACTGTTGTTATTGTTATAAACAGCCTCCTGGTGCTTCGGAGCTCATTAACTGTTTAATAATTGTAAACAAAGCCGCCAAAGATTGAGAAAAGATGTACAGGTTCGTAAGTGCTTGCGTAAATGCTTTCGTGAATCTGGCCCATGGACGCACTCATCAACATTACCTCACTGCGTATTTAACATTTGTATTTCCTCAAATGTAAGATAATATTATTTCATAGCAGAATATGCGGAATTGAAATTGAAATAAGTTTATTGAGGTAAAATACACACAAAGGGATGAGGTAGCTCAAGCTATTCTCACCCCGTTCAGTACATCTACATACATAGACACATCACAAACAATAAACATATTAATGCGGAATAGTTAGGCCTAACTTAATAGGTGATTAGGTTGGCCGTTATTGGTGTTTGCAATATACGGGGGGGGGGGGTGAAACATTCATAGCGGGGTTCGAGCAGAGGATGTGAATGAAGCACAGCTCGAGGGAAAAAACATAATTTATCTGTTGTGTGTGTTAAGTGTTTTTCATTCCATTCATAAACCGGGGGTTTGTCGGGTGGGTTAACTAGCATGTGGTCTGTGTTGATGAGGCAGCCCGTCCTTCTAAGGTTTCCCAACATCAAGAAAATGGTCAATATAAAGTGTCCTCTTCTAACCTACCAGAGGACCCAAAACAGAAAACGGGACAGTACGTCACTTCCGCCAGCCGCTTCCATTTTCTAGTACGACAATTTTTGGCCTTAAGTAACGCAGACGTGCGAAATGGGACGTTCTGTGTAAGAGGATAGGTTGGGTGAGGACGGGTTGAAAAACAGGGCAACAAAGTTCGAACCCCTAGCCACCGACCTAACCTAACCTACTCTAACCCTAACCTAACCGACCCACGTATAGAAAACTGGTTGATTGTGACCCGTTTCTCCTAATAGTACTCCGTATTTTGCCCGTAAGGGGACTATAGCATTTAACACAAACTATCCTCTGGAAGTTCTCTCTATGCTCAGTCTGAATGAATAAAGTTGTGCTAACTGTAGCGTGCTGTTCACTCAACGGCTAAAATGACGAGGGTCTTTGTTTATATATGTATAAAGACTAAATATATATGTATATAGGCTTCCTTCTTTTTCAGGACGAAACACAGCGAGATGGTTGAGTTAGGAGAGCGAGCTCCCTTGTGTGGTTGTGCAGGCTGGTGGTGGTGCCCTGAGCGGTGGTGGTGCTCTGAGCGGCGCTGGTGGTGCCCTGAGCAGCGCTGGTGGTGCTCTGAGCGGCGGCGGTGGTGCTCTGAGCGGCGGTGGTGGTGCCCTGAGCGGCGATGGTGGTGCCCTGAGCGGCGGTGGTGGTGCCCTGAGCGGCGGTGGTGGTGCCCTGAGCGGCGCTGGTGGTGCCCTGAGCGGCGCTGGTGGTGCTCTGAGCGGCGGTGGTGGTGCTCTGAGCGGCGGTGGTGGTGCCCTGAGCGGCGCTGGTGGTGCTCTGAGCGGGGGCAGTGTTGCTAACCCAGGCAACGCAGTCGACTTCGAAGGTTACCTTTTTTTGCAGCCACAGCCAGGGTGTCACCTTCGTCAGTGTGTGCCCAGGTGGGGGTGGTGGTGCGCGGGGCACCGGGCAGTCAAGCAGGTGGGTGGGTGGGCACGTGGGCACGTGGGCAGGCACACAGGACATCGGACAGACACGGTGGGTGGGTGTTCAGGATATCTCGCAGACAGACGGGCAAGTGGGGAAGCAAATTCAAAAGGAAAAGAAGATATCTCATCTGCCTGAAACGCTATGCGGGTTATTGGCTTTGAAGAATGTAAAAATACCAATATTAGGTAATCTCACAAACCCATTGTACCTTCTTGTAAATAAATAAATAAATTTGTTCTGGAAAATGTAGAGTGCAAAACGAATTCTATGAGTACGAGGCGAATTCTTCCACAGGGGGATCACAATCGACTTGAGAATGGTCCAGGACGGACCGAAACGTCGCGCGTACCGCTCACAGGATGAGTATGGGGTGCACAATAAACTAGCCGCCTTCGGCGGCAACAATCAAAATCGTCGTCCCTTCACCTTCTAGTGTGTGGTCTGGTCAACACAGGGGGATCTTCACAGCTGATAAGACTGTAAACAATTGCTGTGCCAAGTCTGTTTATGTGAGGTCAGAGATTTACAAGCTTCCAGCAGGCAGATCTCGGCTGAATTTAGCCATAATATTAAGCCAAACTCAATAAACAAAAAGAGCGCCGGAGTATTGAAGCTGTGACAGGTTATGTTGATTGTGTTGTATGCCAGCCTAGTTGTCCTGCTTGTCTCACAAGACGTGTTTGGTCTCTTGTTGCAAACCTACATTACCTTCAGTGAAGGTGTTGTGTCTGCTGTTGCAGGCCTACCTTACATTCGTATAGTGATTAGCGTCCCTATGACACCTTCTACGTCCACAACTAATATTCTCCAGCTACATTCACAGACAGGAATATCAAACAAATGAAGACATCAGAGAACACTGTATTAACATCAGAGGCCCACGGTTGTTCAACGTCCTACCAGCGAGCATCAGAAATATTACAGGAACAACCGTGGACATCTTCAAGAGGAAACTAGATTGTTTCCTTCAAGGAGTGCCGGACCAACCAGAGCTGTGGTGGGTATGTGGACCTGCGGGCCGCTCCAAGCAACAGCCTGGTGGACCAAACTCTCACAAGTCAAGTCTGGCCTCGGACCGGGTTTGGGGAGTAGAAGAACTCCCAGAACCCCATCAACCCGGTATCAACTAGGTATCATAAAAAATAATTTCAGCTAGAGAGCCCATTTACTCTATTCTTAATACAATATTTTTATATTCAATAAGTTGTAGTACCCGGTAAGTCACTACAGTTATAGTCAGGCACTATATATATACGGTAATTATTGAAACATCGAAGGAATCTGAATCCATTGGAGCTCCTAGTATATAAGTCTAAACACTTCTCAAATCCCCCCATCCATAGTCTGTACAATTATGGAACGATCAGTATGTACACATTATGAACGGTTACCGCGACATGATAAACTCGGCCATCTATTAATATACCAGGTTAACCACGTTTTAAATGGATAAATAGACTAATTATTATGATTGCTGTGATATGACCTAGACATTAGGCCAAATGACAGAACAAGGTATTAAGCCAAGTAACAGAACTAGGCATTAAGCCAAGTGATTTAAGTAAGTATTTAAACAAGATTGTAAAGTTAAAATATATGCAAACTTTTTGTATTCAGATTTAAAAGGGAAAACGAGGCCTGGATCGTTCAAGGATCGTAACACTGCCTTCAGCTGGACGTGAGCTTGCGAGCGACAATACGTGATCCTTCGCTTCTGTTTTATGTGAGTCCTACCGCCGTCTCTCGTCGATTGAGCTGGTGTTGTGGGTTTCGAGGCCATGACGGCACAGGTGCTGTGTGAGTTCCGTTGTTTCCGTGTCTGGAAATACTTGGACGCCCCTCTTCGTGGCAGCGTCAATTAGGATCAGTTGACTTTGAATGAGTTCGTGTTTAACCTCCTTCTTAATATCAGCTCCCGCTTGTCTCGTTTCCTTCCCGTTGTGGCTGGCGGGGGCGGGATCTCTCACGTGCTTTCCGGTTTTCGGGTGACAATGGACGAGATTCTTGGTGTATGTGCACTCTTGTCCGTTGAGCCCTTCTGAGTTGCTTCAGTATGCCCTATTGACATGAGAGCGTCGTTTTCTGCCTCTCGACCTCTTCCTCGTTTTCTGTGTTGAACTACTTGTGGTCCACAGTTTATGTTTTAGTTAATTAATTATATTAATTTATTCATTTATTATTCACCCGATACCCACGGTTGGCGGTTGTGGAAAAGGTTAAGAGGCACACAATGAGCTCAGGAACTGAGCGCCAAAATTCATTTAGCTCAACAAGTTATAGTCTTGATAAGCTAGTTACAGAGATTTTAGTGAATTATTATATCAACAATGGGTTCGAGAACGACCTCTAGTATAGTCTCTAAACTCAGCAACTTACCTGAATTTACCTGAGGGCCATTATATTTCTCTAGAGGACAGGAACCCTGCGGGTTGTCAAAGACGTGTCCCAATGATTGTATCGAGTTGGACCTTGAAATTTGGCAGGTTTGACATTAATGGCTTAGGCGAGTAGGCGGTTCCATGGGTTTATAATATTATAATAATAATTCATTGAATCGGGGGACAGGAAGGTAGTTTGACTTCAATGAAAAAAGCATCTGTTGTGAAAAGAGGCAGTTATTCAACTGTATAAATCTCTTGGATTATTGTATACAAGTATGGCGACCTCATCTTCAGAAAGACAACTACTTTGGAGAAAGTTTAACATAGGGCGACAAAAATCATTCCAGAACTAAGTTAACTCTCGTGCCTGCAGGAACGGTTGAGGGCCACAGGGTTGCAAACCTGACATGACAGGGCTCATCTCATCGAAACTTTTAAAATACTGACAATTTGGAGGATGTTGATCCAGACAACTTCTTGAAAAAGATCAGATGTAACAAGGAGCGACGGTTTCAAGCTCAGCAAGCCACAATGTAGGTCTGAAAACAGATGCTTTTTTTCACCCACAAGGGTATAAACATAAGGAACCGCCTACTCGCTGAAGCCGAAAAATGCCAAAACTGTTGAAATTCAAAATCCAGCTTGAAAAAATCATCAGCTTGTGGTAGCTTGCGGTAATTAGACGGACCGAGCTTGAGCATTGCTAGCGTACATGTTTCCCTATATGCAAGTCCAACTTGTCTGGCAGTGCGTTTCAAAGTAAATATAAATAAATAAATATGTTTATTAAGGTAAGGTACATACATACATACAAGTGATGTTACATTAATGGATTGATATATAGATAGAGCTAGTACATACAATGCCTAAAGCCACTATTACGCAATGCGTTTCGGGCAAGCAGTACACAGTTTGAGGTCATTGTAATAGGCATGGTGTTTATTACCTTTCATATCGTTCCGGTTATTGGATACCTGGTTACCTGGTTACCTGGTTGATGGGGTTCTGGGAGTTCTTCTACTCCCCAAGCCCGGCTCGGGGCCAAACTTGACTTGTGAGAGTTTGGTCCACCAGGCTGTTGCTTGGAGCGGCCCGCAGGCCCACATACCCACCACAGCCTGGTTGGTCCGGCACTCCTTGAAGGAAATAATCTAGTTTCCTCTTTAAGATGTCCACGGTTGTTCCTGTAATATTTCAGATGCTCGCTGGTAGGACGTTGAACAACCGTGGACCTCTGATATTCATTCAGTGTTCTCTGATTGTGCCTATGGCACCTCTGTTCTTCCCTGGTTCTATTCTGCATTTTCTTCCATGTCGTTCACTGACATGGATGGTGCAGGGGGCCGACCTAGAGGGTCAGCAAACATCTGAATAAATTAACTAAACTATTCTACTTCACTGCACCTCCCATTAACAAAGCTATTGATCATACTGCGTATGATTTGTGATCATGTCAGCAGTGCCCTATACTGTAACATTACCTACAGTTCAGTAATTAGATAACTTCCCTTGTAACTTGATCACAAATTTTAGGCAATTCATATAAAGTGTTCGTATAAATACTAGTTCACAACAAATGTAAATTGCTTATCTTAAAAACCCTTTGGGTTTAATTAATATGTGTGTAACCCTTCCAATTCAATTCAACTTCTTTCTTTATTATGCACCCCATACGCATCCCCTTCCGGCAGAGGATGAGTTTGGAGTAAAAAATTAATTATTCAACCTATTAATACCGGTAGACTTTTTTATATTAACAAGCTTATAAGTATACACAGCAATGTGCGGCTACTATATTCTAGAGGAAATATTACAGTGTAGATCACAAACTAGCTATAAGTTCATCTAATGCTCCCATCTCACAGGATGGTTAGTCATACATGGAATCAGGGAAGATAATACCTGCCTCAATACAAAAAATTAAACGTGACTTAATAACAACCTTTATGATTTTCATAAGAGTTAAGCACTGAATTATGGAAATATTATATTATAATTATTTTTTGCCTGTTTCTATAAAATTCTTTTCCAATAATGTTTGTTTACTTAACAAGATTAGGTATACACAACAATGTGCTGCTACAGACGTGGCATCACTGCACTTTCTCTACACGGTGAGACTATTTCCAGTAAACGTGGCAACGTGGCGCTCATCATTTGTAGTGTTCGGAGGTGATGAAGAGATTTGGCTTCGTCTGGGATATTCGTCATATTAATTCCTATAGTTTAGTTTTATACTTTTATTAAATATATTTCTTAAATTATGTGTATAATATATTTGGGGGAATGATCGTTTGAGGATATTTTATTAAAACAGGTGGAGGAAAGTTAGTGAGCGCCACTCCTTCTTCAGGATACACAGCAGCCATTTGTTTACTATCGTCAGCTGAGGGACAAAGACATTTGCTTCTTTGATCGGCTACTGTTGAGCTTGATCAACTTTTGGCTCGTGTTAGTAGAATGTTTTTGGGCCCGGATTTAAATATTTACTATTTTCCTCAATACTCTAGATGATTTATATAATTATGAATCATCTTGGTGACTGGAGGTAGTCAAGGCAGCCAGTCGTCAGTTTATATTTATGTATTGTTATACCAGGCCAATGAGCTTATAGGCTCATCTCATGTATTTTATTTTGTTAAGTTATCTAGAAAACTCACTTATAACACTACACATGAGTTTACTGTCATAAGCTTTTCACCAAAAGTTTGTCGACGGTACATTACTGAATTATTCAAATCTTTTTTTTCAAAACTTTGTCTAGCTCTAATGCTAGTCCTAGGTGAATTTGATATACAATATATACAGTATTGCTAAATTACAGTACTGTATATAAGATTTTGTCACTGGCCAAAAGTACTTCAGGGGATGTAGAGTAGCCATATGTTTGTGCAGAAAATCAGCCTAGAAATTGGTTTTTTTTTCAATGGCTGTACGATTCAGTATTTCAAGTTTTTCTTTATATTTAACTTAAATTTGATGGCTGATTTTTTGTTCTTTGCGTCTTCTCAGAAAAGCTTCTGTTTACCATGTCATGTATGTAATTTTCACAATTATCTGGGGAGACATGGCTTCTTGTCCCTAGTTACAGGAGACTGTTGAATGCAAACAGTACTCAACAAAAGCAATGAAGAATAAGGGGTTTACATAATAAATATAAGTAATTAAACTAAGCAAGTTTTTCTTTGCTTGGTTAAGGAAGGTAAGACGTATTCATTTAAAAACAATAAAACAAAATAGGAGACATCTTACTCTTGCTGAACATAAAACATTGTCATTTTAGTGTTCTCTGTTTTTATCCCTTTCTTTATAGACATTTTCTTGACTACTGTTATATTGCCTATTGGCTTAGTGTTTCTTTTAATAATTATTTCTTAACTTGCAGATATTGTACACTTGTACACTATTCAGTTTTGTGTTCATCATTCTGTTCTTGGCTACTGATTTTAATAAATTTGAGTTTTTGTATGTGATAATTTTCTAAATGCTGTTTCCTTATATATCTAGGGCCAAATCACGAAGTTCCCTCAGTATGGCAGATGTATCGTCAATAGAACATCCTACTTTAAAAGTGAGTTGATAGTGGGTTTGTCACTCTTCTCAGATTATTGCTAATTTAAAGTTTCTCAAGAGATTACTGTGTTTAGACAGGTTAATCCATAAAAAGCTAAATTTATTCTATTTTCTAAGAGGGTTATGCCTAATTTTTCTCATATTTGTGAAGTAGTATTTCTGGAACCGTGCACATCCTGGTGCCTATACAGTACTTAGTTTTTCTGAAGTAATGTACTGTACTTGGGTGTAAATATAATTAGATACTCAATGCTTGTATGAAATACTGTATAATAATTGCTTATTTATTTTTTAGGTGCCATATGATGTGCTCAACAAGAAATTCCGATTGGCACAAAAAACTTTAGATAGAGAAGTTTGCCATGTAGCCTCTGCTGTAACAGAATTGGAGCGTGTCTTTTTCACAGACAACCGCAGTGCCTCTCAAATATCTTCTCTTCTTGGGGGTGTTGTTGAAAAATTGTCTTCCTTCAAGCGGAAGGTATGACATTAAATTGAAAACAATACAAGCATTGACAATGGCCTTTTCACAAACTATCTTCCGTTTGATATATTTAAAGTAAAACACTTTTTCATTCTCCTCTCTCCACCCAGTATCCACCATACTTTGCTACTGTCTATGTGTACTGGTTACTTATCCACGTTTTAATTGGGATTTTCCAAATTCATTATAACTAAAAGTATTTCTGAAGTTCAATAAATATGTGTGCAATTCTTGATAGACATGCTCTTTTTTAGGCTTGTCAATACTGTAATGGCAAATTCAACCAAAGTAATTTATTGCAGTTGATTTGCATTATTAAGAAAATATTTTATGAATGTAACACATTAATCATCAAGCTCCATAATAAGTATTTATATTTAATTTTTGTTATCAAATGGTTACATATCTCCAATGAAGTTTTTAATATGAAATCTACAAAAAGTATCCCCAAAGATGGACACCTCTTTACAATTTCAGTGGCATAAATGATTTAAGAAATTTGTCACTAGGAATTTTATTTAATGTATCATGTAAAATACTTAGTACTGTATATGCATATCAGATTTTTTTAAAAGTAATATTGTGCTTATAAGAGTCTTTAATATTTAACCATCCTAAACCATCCTAGGTCTAACACACTATCTTAGGTCCAATATAATACATACATGTGCTATACTAGACCTATGAATACTGTATTTGAGTTTGGTTTTAGCTAGATTTTTTGGACTTTTAAGTGAATAGTTCCAAATTCTACTATTTGATTGTCCAGTACATCAACATATATACGATGGTCCACACAGTTATAAAAATTACTATAGAAACAGGAGGATGAATTGATATTAGCAATGCATGGTCTACACCAACATTTCAAGTACTGTACTGTACAGTATGTCTGATTTCACATGGAGGAGTCATTTTAATGTACTTGAATTCCATTATTTTATTTTAAAATATGAATACGTTAAACATACAGTACTGGTTTCTGATGTCAAAAATATTTTTACATTTCTGTAGTATTCCTGCCCATTGTCTGTTCCATGTTAGTCTGTAATATTCAAATACGTAATATAATTGTTTGTTGTACTGTACACTGATTTGACTACCCTACAGGAGAGGAAGTGATCAGCCTAACATAGATGTCTTCCATATTCACAATTCAGTATTTTAGTATGTAAATGATGTTGACTCTCTCCTTGACGATTCATCTTATTGTTTTTGTTACCCTGATTTGATTTATTTGGTGAGTAAAACTCTCTTCATAAATGCCCATGAAGAGTAATTTGCAAAATTTGCAAGAAATGTTATGAACATTTTTTTGGGGTCCTTACAGAGTTAGTTTTCAGATGTACAAATTACAAAATTGAGAGCTTTTTTCCGTGTCCATTTAATCTGAGCAAAATTTTTAGTGTTATTTATTCAACTACAATACAATAGTAGTACTGTATTTCTTATGATGATCTTAAAATACAAATGAATTAAAACTCTTAGGCAGAAGAAGCAACTCAAGAGGAGATGGAATCAGGTCGAGTGGTAAAACGACGTGTTGATCACTTGAAAGATCATGACTCACTTAGCCCCTCTGTTGTAACAGAATGGAAACGTACCAGATTGGACCGACTTTTAGTTGAGTATCTTCTTCGAGCTGGATGTTACTCGACGGCTACTAAGGTTAGTAGTTGAGACAAAAGTCAGTGTTCTAGAATACAATGCACGAAGTATAATTAATTTTAATACTGGTACATATTCGAGAGTGCATTTGCAAAAATTTTGTGTTTCATTGGTAGCTTATGATGCTACACAGTGGTGTTGTACCTGAAATGGAACTTGGTACAACAGAAGGATTATGAACTGATTACAGTATTTTGTGCCTTTATTCATATTAGATGTCCTTACACATTAAGGATAGCTGATTAATCAAATTTGTGGTGCTAATAAATGTAACTTTGAGATCAAAACACAGTACACTCCAGGTTGTTAACAATGGAATATGACATGAACCAATTATATTAGAGGTAAGATTTGAGAATTTTGTTTATTTTGTGGTAATCTTTCAGTTTTACATGAGATTTTACCAATCCCTGTTGTTTGCATTAAGAAATAAAAAATGAGTGATAATACCATATATCCACCAGAAGAACCTAACTAAACAAAATTTGTAATATTCCCAGTCTTGATTATAGACCAACCAAATGCAGTGCTTAGAATTTTTTTATTCCACAATAAACTGATTTGTAGAATACTGTACAACATTGTGTTAATAGACTTTCAAAATGCCTTATACAGAGATATATTACATATTTAATTGCCTGTTGTACAATACAGTACCTAGAAATGTGTTAAACAAATTTTTATAATTCTGTATATTGTTCCTGTACTCATTATAATGTAAATATAAAATAAAGTTCTTGGGCCTGGAAAATACTATATTATCTTCCTAGGGCAACACCTTTATGTAAAATTGGAAGTCCTCTGTATGCACAAATATGTTTTATCATTTGTGCTAATAAAATCATATTGTGCACAAAAATATTAAAAATGGCAAATGTGTGCAAATGTGTCTGCAACGGATGACCGCAGAAATAATTGATATACATAGATCATTTAAATTCCACTGTGCATGCCTTACAGTGCTACTTCCCGAGCAATAAAGAATTTATACGTTAATTATCAAAATACACTAGTACTGTATATACAGTATATGTAAGTGTTCATACAAATTTATTTTCATTCAACATTCTATGAACATTTCAGTTAGCAAGCTCCCGTGGTATAGAAGGACTGACAAACTTAGATGTCTTCTTGGTAGCCAGAGAGGTAGAACAGTCACTAGCATGCCGTGATACAAGCAAGTGCCTTTCCTGGTGCCATGATAACAAGAGCAAGCTGCGGAAGCTCAATTCTTCTCTTGAATTTAATGTGCGGATGCAAGAGTTTATTGAGCTAATCAAGAGTGATCGCCGTATGGAAGCCATCCGGTAAATGATCATAAACACTACATGAAAAATGTATCGTTATTACTTTAAAAGTAGCTTTCTGTCTGATCAAAATTTATGTCCTGACTAATGAGGGTTAGTTGGTTCAGTGCATAATGTATGAGGCTTTGTTTGAAGTCACATGTATTACAAATCATTTTTTTTTTTTTTTGTATTGTCCAACTGCACAAGACTTCTTTTTAAACTTCTCTGCTTCATTTTAATAGACATTCACATTTACTATTCATATTTTATCACCTTATATCCAGCCTCCCACTACTTCCAACTTCCAAAATCAAAATCTCATTATCAAACTTCTTCAAATTTACATACAGTCTTAAAATGGGATTTCTAATACCATTTCAAATACTGCACTGTACCTACATTATTTTATTTCAGTAAAATGTTGACTTAAATTTTTGTTCTGTAAATATTTCCAGGGAACTATTTTATTATCAGAACAAACCTATTGTCTGAGCAGTACCAGGGTCTGATGGCCATGGGTTTCAGCTAACTTGTTGTTTACTGCATCAATCTATTAGTGTTATCTTTGTGCCCAGGAATCTAACAAATATATTCCATTCCCAATAGACATGCAAGAAAGCACTTCACAGGACAGGAACCAGGACATTTGCCATCAATACAACGATGTATGGCCCTTATTGCCTTTCCAGCCAACACAGGTGGGTTTCTTTTTTTCTTGTTTTTTCAAGAAAAAACAATATATATAAGATTTGCTTGGATATTCAAGTTTAAAGATATGAAATAAATACTAACAAGTAAAGAAAACTGTACTGGGCTTCCATTAGAATGGGACTGGTGGTGATTGATGGTAGTCTGTCAGACCTCTAACATCTGCCAACATCATCAATTAAAATTGCCAGGAGTTACTCAAATTTGCCAAGACTACCCTGCTACCTGTCCTCCTGCATCTCGCCGACAAAATGGCAGGCAATGTCAGTACTGTACCTGCTACATTCATGTTACCAACAGGCTGCTCATTGCGAATGGACTTCTGACAGTTATTGTACCCGATGACCTTCTTCCAGCCTCCCCAATTGCCACTGACCTGACTGGCCAACCATCAAATAGGACATCACCTCAAGCACGCCGGGCCCCGTCTGGCCACAATGACTCCATAATTCCTGAGCTTGTCCCAATGACAAGGACAGCAGCAACCCCCAGGTCAGCCGACCAGGACAATGAAGCCTACTCCAAAGACTCAACCGACGCTGAAGACGTTTGAAGGAAGTCTTCCTTGAAGACGTTTGAAGGAAGTCTTCCTTGAAGACGTTTGAAGGAAGTCTTCCTTGAAGACAAGGAAGTTTCTGCATCAATTTCTTCACTTCTCCAGAATCCAGAAAGAGGCACATTTCATCCTAATCAGCCCTCATTGCAAATTGGTAACACACTCGCCTGGCGTTTCATGAGTGCTTTGGCCTGGGTTCGTATCCTGGCTGGGGAGAATTTACTGGATACCAATCCTTAGCTGTAGCTTCTGTTCATCCAGTAATGAATGGGTACCTGGTTGTTAAACTGTTTGGCGGGTCATATTCCGGGAAAATTAGGATTAAGGACTTGCTAGAAACAGTACGCATGCTAGTAGCTGTACAAGAATGTAAGAACTCTTTTATATAAATAAATAAATAAATAAAAATAAAAAATAAAGCTGACTGTGATGACTCGACTGACTCTGATTACGTCACTCGATGTCACCAACTTCGCATCCCCTCCTGCTGCAGCTCGGGCACCATCCAACCCTCCTGATCCCACACTTGCACCAGCGGGCTGACAGGCTACCAGGCCATCTACTCAAGGGATATCCAACAAGGCTACAATCTCTCGAAAGAGGACAGACAGTACAACGCAACTACCCACAACAAATGCTGGCAAAGCTTGTGCACTGAGGCGATTCAGTTCCTTCCTATGGTCGTCCCTCAAGAACGCGTAGACCACCTCTGCGACTACAACACCTTGAAGAAGGAACTCTGACTGGAATTCTAACCACAGGATAAGGCAGAAAAGACCCCATTCCTCTTGTAACACCCGGCCATCTTCCCTTAGTCCAGACAACTGCGGCCAACTTTGCTGATAGCCCTACGTACTCCTGTGACGCCCAACTGCGAGCGACGTGTGAACCCCATTAACCCACCAGTCTACAGCATCAGCTGCAAGTCCTATCCACAATGGTTGGGCTACCGAGCTCTAATTTCCTCCTCTGACTAGTATCCTGTTTACTGCTCAAGTTTTCTGCATCCTCATCCCAGCCGTCTGCCCCTTGCTTACCTGCCCTAGGGTCTTCGATTGAGATTGTTTTTTTTTTGTCTTCAGACGATTCATTATTCAATAGAATGTATTTTCATCAGTGTTCTTTTTCAGATGTTGCTCCATACAAGGAACTGTTGTCAGATTTACGATGGGACCAGTTGATTGAACAGTTTCGAGCTGAAAACCTGAAATTGTACCAGTTGTCTTCACAGTCTGCCTTCTCCGTTGTTGTGCAGTCAGGGTTGTCTGCACTCAAAACTCCTCATTGTTATAGAGTAAGAAATGCACCTACAATGTTTAACAAAGTATTTACAAAGTAAATACAGTACAAAGTATTTGTACTGTATTTACAAACTTATACATAACCATTCTTCATGCTGGCTTATATTTCATTGCAATACAGTATTTTGTTGTATTTTTCACTTAAAATAATTTATTCCTTTCAAAGAAATGCAATATATTTTTTAATTTTTTCATGGCCATCAAATATTCCTTCATTTTCTATCAGTCTTCTATTTTCTCTCCTAAATTAGTGGTAAAAGCAGTTGCCTATTTGAATTCCAGGTACAGTAATTTGTACCCTGGTTTCAAACAGTGTAAACCACACCTCATTATTTCTCCTCTATTCTGTTAATATCACAGTATCTTAGTGCATTGAATATTATATAATGCACTATATACTACACTCCATTTTCATGTACAGTACTGTAACAGAAGATCTTCATGAATATTTCTGGTATGTCTGCTTATCTTAAAATTGTTTATAATCTAAAAGAATAACTAAACTTCTTTAAGTAAAATTCTAAACAAGAAGTACTGTATATGTAAATAAGTTTTCTAAGTATTACATTCAACCTTATATTGCTATCAGTTTTTCTTTAACCATTTAATGCACTTTTCAAGCTAAATAACTATCGGTATTTTTGTCACAACGGATAAGGTAGATTATAAATGCTAATAAGTTAATTCAGGTTTTAAACAAATTTATCTGAGGGCCATTATCTCCCTAGTGACCTTGATGGGGATAGGAAGCCAGTGGCTTGTCTAAGGCCCTCCATTATTCCCGAGAATATTTTTTCTGTGGATGCTGAAGTAATGTCTTGGCATTTACAGTTTTGGCAGGTAGGTAGGTCCATGGGTTTATAACCATGTGGGTAAAAAAGCATCTCCTGTTTTCCATCCTACATTGTAGCTTGTTGAGCTAGAAGCTGTTGCCCCTTGAATGTGTTACATTTAACCTTTTAAAGAAATGCTCTGAATTAATAGCATCCAGATTGTTCAGCTGTTTACTGTATAAAATATGACAGCAGTATGTGCAGTATAGAGGGCCTTTGCACAAGTTGGGGGATGTTTCCAAGGATATGTGCATGATACTGTGTTTATGCTAAGAGTTCCATAAACACAAGAAAAAACCCATTTGGGAGATATTGTAATACAGGCATACCTCAGTTTAAGAGTTTAATTGGTTCCTGGAGACGCCTCGTATTCCGAAAACTCGCATTCCAAAGCTAATTTCCCCATAAGAAATAAAGGGAAATGAATTAATCCGTTCCTGACTACCCCAAAAACCCCACATCAAACTAAATTTTTATACCTAATTCATCTAAATAAGCCTACAAAACTATGTTCAAGTTATTACTTACCTTGCTGTTGAATGCTGTAGGCGTATGGAAGATGGTGAGGAGGTGGGAGGAAGAGAGGAGTTACTGTTTGGAAGGGGAGTCCCCTTCCATTATCACATCAGGCAGTGAGGACTTCACTGGTATGCACACTCTGGCACATTTTGCCTGCATACCACTAGGACTTGCTTGTTTTACTAAGAATTTGTCTAATGACACTTGTTTTTCCCTACATTTTAACACTTGTCTGTAGTAAGACATCACATTATCATTTAAAAGGTCAATGCAACGGCCTGCTACAGCTTTATCTGGGTGAGTTTTTTCAACAAAACTTTGCAGTTCTTCCCATACTTCACACATTTTCTTAATCAAGAAGGGACATCCTCTACTGCCTCTACTCACAGCTATTTTCTTAGGTTGAACCTTACCAATGGCTTTCTTGAGACCCATGGCAAGATATATAATGACAACTTTTATGCTCAAATGGCCAAAAAAACGATAAAAAACTGTAAATCCTTGTGAAGAATTCAGGTGGGATAGTCACTGGACACGAGACACTGGTAAACTGAGGCGCGATCGCCATGCCACCACGCGCCAGTCGGCCTGTACACGTATCAACAAACTCGCGTCCCGAGGTAACCCTCGCCTTCCGAGACATTTTTGGAGTAAATCCTGCTCGTCTTCCGAAAAACTCGCATACAGGGACACTCGCATTCCGAGGTACTACTGTATATGAATATCATTTAAATTTTATTGCAAACTGCAAGTCAATTTGGCACCAGCTTTTGCCACTTAATATTGTGCAGGCTAGAAAGGTCCTGTATCCAGGTGGGATGCTGTTTATCCCTCTTCCCAGTGTGAGCTGTTGATCCTGTTGTGGGTCAGAGACTATGCATTTGATCTGGATCCTTCTCAGTTTAAGTTTGGTTCACTACCACTTTCTGGTTATGGTATTGGGTTCCTGCTGCCTCTTGGCTGAAAGGCAGTCCTTTGAATTAACCTGAATTTTCGTGAGGGGCTACCATCTCTAGAGGCCTTGGCCGGAGCAGGAAACTGGTGGCTTGTCCCCCCTTTATTCCTGAGGATTTTTTTTTCATTTGTATTTTAAATACAAGCAATGTCTTGGCATTTATAGCTATGGAATGTAGGCAATTCTCTGGGTTTATTACCCTATGGGTGAAAAATGCCCTATTATTTAATGGGCGAGTATGACATATATTGGCATAGTGTTGTATTTACTCATAAAATAGAATTTATTTTTGTACAGGTACTTGAGAAACTTTTGTTTTTTGTATGTGTGTGTGAGATCTGAAAAAGATCATTCTGTTGAGAGAACACATTCAGGTTCATGAGTGGTTGTTGACCGAAGGTCTGCTCTCGAGTATTGGTGTGATTTTGGTAGTCTTGCTAGTATCAGGAGAATCTTCCTAATGATATTGATAGATTTCAAAGAAAAAAGCTATAGTGTAATAGTATTTGATTTTGTTGGTAGTAATTATTTTGATACAATTTAAAAATGCAACAATAAGGTACTCTTATTATAAAGCTGTGTTACCCAAATATTTTTAGCATATTACTTTCCTTATTAATCATTCTGTATGTTGCTTATCACTTTAATAAAGGCCATGTTTTAGTGTATTGTGATCATTGTTGTTTCAGGGAGCTACAGGTCACAACCCAGACTGCCCCGTGTGCCAGCCATCTCTAAACTCCTTGGCTTCTCCTCTCCCGTATGCTCATTGCTCACAGTCTCGTCTTGTGTGCAATATTAGTGGAGAACAACTCAATGAAAATAACCAACCACTAATGTTACCAAATGGATATGTTTATGGACAGAAGGTAAGAGTGCAGCAAAAAAAAAAAATATATATATATATATACAGTAGTTTGTGTTGCCACTGGTGTAAGCATTCACTGTAAAACCTAATTTATATTGAATATAAATTCACCATCACCACATGCATGACTATCTTGAAGATAGTCATGAGTGTGGTGATGGTGCAACCCTTGAAACACTAAATGAAATACTATCATGTTCAGGGTTCATTGTTAGTTGGTTCTTTATTTCATTTGATTTTGATTGATTTGTTAAAAGTAATTTTTGCTATTTTAACTTTTATGCAGTATATTACAGTACCTCACGTGATGCTATCATTTCCCCCCAGGCTTTACAGCAGATGGCCAGTGAAAACAATGGCACTATTGTTTGCCCACGTTCACGCCAAACATTCAACATCAGAGATGCAGAAAAAGTGTTTGTCATGTGAGAAGATGCATATGATGCTCACATAATGTTAGTTATTAAAATGACATTTCTACATTTGAACAGGTTATGTTGCTCATAAATGTGGCCATACTTATTAATGAAATTACTGTACTCATATTTGGTATGCATTGTATTTGGCCTTGTAAAGTGATGCCATTTTCTGTAATTGTGTCCATTTGTTGGATTAGGTTAAAAACATACATAAAATGTTATTGAACTACTCTTAATACACAACAATAAATGCATACTCTTGTGTGAGTATGTGAATCCATGAACACACACACGCACGCGTGCGTGCGTACATGTAGACGTACACTGGTAATTATACAAACTCTTAACACGTGCATTAGTATTTATGAAGAAAATGAAGCTTTAATTGAACCCTTTGGTTTAACTTTGACCTTGTTTAACTGTATTTAACAGTCATATTCAATTGATAAGTTTCAAGACACTTCTCTAAAGGGCACAATTACTGGACAAGCACTTTACATGGTATATTTGTCATGAAGGATCATTGACTGATAAGCTAGAGCTGTTATTTTGCAACTTTGTAGTTTATTTTAACATTAAATTCTTAAGATATTGATCAGTTGCGATTGATTCATTCATACGTCGTAACCACTTATCTTTGGTTGAGAACGTAGTTAGTTGTTTATGATTACGTAGTTAGTAATGTTTATTAGTATAGATAGCTTTGAGCAAGTAATTCTAGCTTTTCAGACTGTTATTACTGAGGTATCAAATAAGGACATGTCATCTTTTTTAGTGAAATATCATAAATTGGATGTTGGTTTATGGTAAACACTTGTCAGTAATTTGCCAAAATTTATCTTTTTTTTTTTTTTTTTTTTTTTGGTACATTGTGTTATTAAAGTACAGTACTGATAGTGTTTATATCGGGTATACCTGTGTACAATAGTGTACCTCCTGAATGTAGCTCATAGTACCATTTTTTGTTTCTGTACAGCATGACTAACCATCGTGCTGTTATTAGTGTTTATAAGAATAAGCATATCATTTTTGTCAGTTGTTAATCCACGGGGTACTTGCTGCCAGAAAGAGACATGAATATATATATATAATTATTACCTAAATGTAATTACCTTGTTGTAGTTACAGGATGAGAGCTACCCTCATGGTGTCCCGTCTTCCCAGTACTCTTTGTCGTATGACGTTTTGAAACTACTGATGTTTTGGCATCCACCACTTTGTCATTTGTTTCAACTGTCTACCCCCCACTATGCAAAAGTGAATTTTCTAGTGTTTTTTTGGGCAGCCTTGTTTGCCTTGTTTAGTCAGCTTAAATCTATGACCTCTTGTTCTTGAAGTTCCAGGTATCAAGAATTCTTCTATCAATTTTTTTTTATTCCCATTACTTTTTTGTACATAGTGATCATCCTGCCTCATTTTCTTCTATCTTCTAACTTTGGCACATGTATCGCCTCTAAACTCTCCATGTAGCTCTTGTCTTTCAGTACCGAAAAGCATTTTGCTGCATGCCTTTGCACCTTTTCCAGTTTGTTGATGTGCTTCTTGAGATATGGGCATTATACAACTGCTGCATATTAAAATTTTTGTCTCAAAGGTCGTAACCAATTTATTTAACATTTTGCCATTCATGTGTGTGTGTAATTACCTTAGTGTAGTTACAGGATGAAAGCTACGCTCGTGGTGTCCCATCTTCCCAGTACTCTTTGTCGTATAAGGCTTTGAAACTATTGACAGTTTTGGCTTCCACCACCTTCTCACTTAGCTTGTTACAACTGTCTACCATTGTATTTGCAAAAGTAAACTTTCTAATATTTTTTTTCACCTTTGTTTCCTTAGCTTGAATCTGTGTCCTCTTGTTTGTGAAGTTGCTGGTTTTAGGAATTCCTCTTTGTCAGTTTGGTCGATTCCGGTTAATATTTTGTAAGTGGTGATCATATCACCTCTTTTTCTTATATCTTATAGTTTTGGTATGTTTGACACCTTTAGTCTCTCCTCATAACTCTTGTTTTTAAGTTCTGGAAGCCATTTTGTAGCATGCCGTTGCACCTTTTCCAGTTTATTTATGTGCTTCCTGAGATTTGGGCACCATACAACTGCTGCAGGTTCCAATTTTGTGTGTGTGTGTGTGTGTGTGTGTATACTCACCTAGTTGTACTCGCCTAGTTGTGCTTGAGTGGGTTGAGCTTTGGCTCTTTGGTCCTGCCTCTCAACTGTCAATCAACTGGTGTGATCTCACACACAATGTATGTATGTATGTGTATATGTGCATTTACTATTTGTGTGTAATTACCTAAGTGTAGTTACTGTATGAGAGCTACGCTCATGGTGTCCCGTCTACACAGCACTCTGTCATATAACGCTTTGAAACTACTGATGGTTTTGGCCTCCACCACCTTCTCACCTAACTTGTTCCAACCATCTACCACTCTGTTTGCGAAAGTGAATTTTCTTATATTTCTTTGGCATTTTTGTTTAGTTAGTTTAAATCTATGACCTCTTGTTCTTGAAGTTCCAGGTCTCGGGAAATCTCCACTGTCAATTTTATCAATTCCTGTTACTATTTTATACATAGTGATCATATCACCTCTTTTTCTTCTGTCTTCTAGTTTTGCCATATTTAATGCCTCTAACCTCTCCTCATAGCTCTTGCCTTTCAGTTCTGGGAGCCACTTAGTAGTATGTCTTTGCACCTTTTCCAGTTTGTTGATGGGCTTCTTAAGATATGGGGACCACACAACAGCTGCATATTCTAGCTTTGGCCTAACAAAAGTCGTGAACAATTTCTTTAGTATTTCACCATCCATGTATTTAAGAGCAATTCTAAAGTTAGAAAGCGTAGCATAGGCTCCTCGCACAACAGTTCTTTATGTGGTCCTCAGGTGATAGTTTCCTATCTAGAACCACCCCCTAGATCTCTTTCTTTATCAGAATTTTTTTAAAGATTTCTCACAATTTATAGGTTTTGTGGGGTCTATGTTCTCCTATTCTACATTCCATAACATGACATTTATTCAAATTAAATTCCATTTTCCAAGTGGTGCTCCATATACTAATTTTGTTCAGGTCTTCTTGAAGGGTATTACAATCATCTAAGTTTCTTATCCTTCCTATTATCTTAGCATCATCAGCAAACATGTTCATATAATTCAGTATTCCATTTGGTAGATCATTTATGTAGACAATGAAACGCCCGAAACGCTTTGCGTAATAGTGGCTTTAGGCATTGTATGTACTAGCTATACCTATAAGTTAAACAATCCTTGTAAATATTTATTGTATGTATGTACCTTACCTAAATAAAATTGTATTGTATTGTATTGTAATGAACATCACCGGTGCAAGAATTGAACCCTGTGGTACTCCAGTTGTGGCATTTCTCCAGTCCAATACATTGCCTCTGATTACTGCCCTCATTTTTCTATGTCAGAAAAATTTTCATCCATGTTAGAAGCTTACCTGTCACCCCTCCAATATGTTCCAGTCTCCAGAACAACCTCTTATGTGGAACTCTGTCGAAAGCATTTTTTAGGTCCAGATAGATGCAGTCAACCCAACCATCTTTTTCCTGTAAAGTCTCTGTGGCTCGATCATAGAAACTGAGTAAATTCGATACTCAGGATCTTCTAGATCGAAAACCATACTGTCTGTCTGATATTATATAATTTCTCTCCAGGTGTTCTACCCATTTAGTTTTTATTATTTTTTCCAATATTTTGACTATTACACTTGTCAATGATACAGGTCTATAATTGATGGGGATCTTCCCTGCTGCCACTTTTGTGGATTGGAATTATGTTAGCCTTTATCCACACATCAGCTACGACTCCTGTTCACAGGGATGTCTAAAAAATCAGCTGAAGTGGAATGCCGAGCTCAGGTGCACATTCTCTCAGAACCCATGCTGAAACTCCATCTGGGCCAACTGCTTTGTTCTTACTTAGCTCCTAGATCATTTGTTTCACTTCGTCTCTAGCCACCTCTATGCGCTCTATGCTGTTCTCTGGAATTCTTATTGTGTCTGGTTCTCTGAAGATCTCATTTTGTACAAACACACTTTGAAACTTTTTGTTTAATGTTTCACACATTTCATTTTCATTTTCCATGTATCTGTCCCCCATTTTCAACCTCTGAATATTATCCTTAACCTGCAGCTTGCTTTTAATGATTTTATAGAAAAGACCTGGATCTGATTTACATTTGTCTGGTATACCGTTCTCAAAGTTCCTCTCTGCCTCTCTCCTTACTGACGTGTAGTTGTTTCTTGCATCTTTGTATCGCTGGTAAGTTTGGGGTTTGGCCTCTTCCTATTATGATTCCATGCTTGTGTCTTTTGATCTCTGGCCCTCTCGCAATTTCTGTTGAACCATCCCTGTTTACTAGGTCTGCATCTCTGTTTTGGTATGAATGTTTGTGTGCCTTCATTGTATTTTGCAAAATTTGGCATACATCTCATTTACTGTACTTACTTGCCTAGCAACAAGTCTGTCCAATTATACCCATGAAAAATTTCTAAGTTCCCCATAGCGTCCTCTCCTGAAATCGAGTTTAACAACTGTTTCACTGTCCCCATTCTCTACTAGATTATATTGCATAGCGTATTTAATGTCCAAGAGGACGTGATCACTCTTTCCCAAGGGAGGAAGGTACTGGATGTCAAATACCTCTTCTTCTTTCCTGGTGAATACTAAATCCAGTACTGATGGTACATCCCCTTCCCTCATTCTTGTGGCCTGCTTGACGTGTTGATACATGAATGTCTCCAAGATGAGGTTTTACAAATCTGCCTGTCCAAATGTCCTCTGTTCTTGCCTCATAGACCTCCCAGTCTATTGCCTTAAAGTTGAAGTCCCCCAGTACCAGCAATCGGGATTTATCTTAGTCAGCTCTTTCCATAATCTTTCTCATGACCATTATGAGGCCCTCTTGTTTGTCATCCAGTTCTTCCTTTGTCCATGTGTTGCTTTCTGGTGGGCTGTAGGCATTTAAAATTATCAGCTTATCATCTTGATTCCAGACCTGCAATGCCATTATGTCAATATCTCGAGGGTTTTAAATTATTAATGCCTTCAAGAGAGTTAATAATTGAAAACCCTTGAGATATTGACATAATGGCATAAGTGTGTGTGTGTGTGTGTGTGTGTGTGTGTATGTGTATGTGTATGTGTATGTGTATTTATTATTTGTGTCTGCATAATTGAGCTATTAGCACTTGGACCCCACCTTTCTAACCAATCAATTTTTCCTCTATTATATCTACTTACATATATTTCTCTCTTAATACACCTATCCCTAGGAAGCAGTCCGTAGGAGCTATGTAACTCCAAAGTAGACAAACTTTTCCCATTTGTTTCTGTCTCGGCCAGGAATTGAACCCAGGCCTTTAGGACTACGACCCCAGAGCACTATCCACTCAACTGTAAGGCCCTTAAGGCCTCGTGGTCTCAGCCCACAGGCCTCAGCCGCAAGGTCTGTGTGTGTGTGTGTTTGTGTTTATTTAGATTTAAACTACACCAAATCATTCACACACTCTTGAGTGCATTATCAAGACCTGAGTACTGTATATGATTTGGACAAGACTTGCATACTTGCATCTCAACGACTGCAGTAATAGTAGTAGTCGTCGAGATGTAAGCTCATCCAAACCATGTACTCATACCTTGATAATTCACTCAGGAAAGTACATAAAATGTGGTGTAGCCTAAATCTTTACATAAAATACCTTAGACCACTACACCACAACAATGTCAAAAAACCATGCAACCTGGGATTTAACTGAATCCTCCAGGGTTCCTGAGGCTTACACTGAAGTCTAACCAGCATTTCACATATTGCTTCCATGCACCCTGGCTTGTAGTC